TCTATCAACCTAGAACATGGTTTCTAAAAACTTAGAACATGGTTTATCAACTTAGAAAATAGTTTCTATCAACTTAGAATATGTTTTCTATCAACGTAGAACATTTTTTCTAACAACTTAGAACGCGATATTTTGAGTATGATCATTTTTGTCATGAAGAGAAAGTAAGGTCTGTTTAATGCTTTGTTTTTAGTCTTATAAGCACACGGGTACCGTGCAACCCAACCACGGCGTACAGGGAATACTGGCGACGTAATAGTTCTGTACCGTGCAACCCAACCACGCGTACAGGAGATACTAGCGACGTAATAGTTCTGTACCGTGCAACCCAACCACGGCGTACAGGGAATACTAGCGACGTAATAGTTCTGTACCGTGCAACCCAACCACGCGTACAGGAGATACTAGCGACGTAATAATTCTGTACCGTGCAACCCAACCACAGCGTACAGGAAATACTAGCGACGTAATAGTTCTGTACCGTGCAACCCAACCACAGCGTACAGGAGATACTAGCGACGTAATAGTTCTGTACCGTGCAACCCAACCACAGCGTACAGGAGATACTAGCGACGTAATAATTCTGTACCGTGCAACCCAACCACGCGTACAGGAGATACTAGCGACGTAATAGTTCTGTACCGTGCAACCCAACCACAGCGTACAGGAAAAAGTACGACGTCATAGTTCTGTACCTTACCATATAATCACAGAGTAACTTTTATGATAAGTTCACTGCTAAATTAGACTTCACAAAGAAGACCAGTTGACAGTTGACATGAAATTTTAAAAACACAACAAGCAAATTCACACACAACTTACACAGCACACATGCACCCAGTAGCAGGCACCCACCATGTAGGACATGTTACTCACCGAAAATGTGACAGAGCTATGCTATAACAATAAATATATGAACAGTGCCAGTTGACACTATCCACACAAATGTTGTTAGTAGAATGCAACGTGGAGTAGTTAGTTGATTGTAGTAGAGGCTTTTCACTTTGGGGCGGGACTGCAAACACTGATGGGACAGTTTGACGAAAAAAGATATAAATATAACTCATCGCCCCACGACAAAATCCTGTTTGTTGCTCTCTGCACTGAAGTGGCCCATCATGAATTATAATGTTTCTGTTTGCAATGTTTGTAAGTGTGATGCACACTGGCTTTATATGTGATTACGTAGTGGGGACTGTCACGGAGTTACAGTTATTGTTTCACCTCTTTGCTTTGTCGTTCTTAAGATTGGTGGATCAACTTAGAACATGGTTTATCAACCTAGAACATGTGTTATCAACCTAGAACATGGTTTCTATCAACCTAGAACATGTTTTATCAACCTAGAACGTGGTTTCTATCAATCTAGAACATGTTTTATCAACATAGAACATATTTTATCAACCTAGAACATGGTTTCTATCAACCTAGAACATGGTTTCTAAAAACTTAGAACATGGTTTATCAACTTAGAAAATAGTTTCTATCAACTTAGAATATGTTTTCTATCAACGTAGAACATTTTTTCTAACAACTTAGAACGCGATATTTTGAGTATGATCATTTTTGTCATGAAGAGAAAGTAAGGTCTGTTTAATGCTTTGTTTTTAGAAC